ACCAACATCCGATTATATTAATAATTATATCGAAAAATTAACTCAAAATAGATATATTTTTTAGGAAAGAAGTTGATCCACGAATGTTAGGGTTAACATCTATTGAGTGGCAAGTTCATGGTCTTTACGTGAATTAGGCTTAGCACTTTGAACTGAAAGAGTTTGTGATTTTTTTATATTCTTTTGCATTTAAATTAGTAGTTTTAAGTTCAATAATTTAGCATAATGTTTTATTTAGTTCATAATAAAAATATGATTCAGTAGTTAAAATGATAAACTTGTGTGATTTGTATGTACTACTACTAGTTCCAGTACCACATAAGAATTTTATACTTTTCCTTCTTACTATCTTTAGTTTGTAGTAAGACCCACATTTCTGTTGTTGCTGCTTTATAATTAAAACAGTCTAACTAATATATAAAAAGTTTATATGAGAATCAAAGTGTTCACTTATTTGACCACTTGGGTTAAACAACTTATCCAGCTTATTTATTCTTCCATGGAAGAGGATGCTTTTTGCCTTTTTTTTATGTCACTTCCCATCAAGTTTATCATCTCATGGCTTCTCTTGCCATATTATTGACTTCCCCTGGATGAATTGTTGAAGGCAGGGATGTCACTGACCATTGACACAATTGTGTCCCATTATTTATAATACATTGCAGTTTCATCTGTCTCAGGGATTTGTCTACCCCCAGTCATCATTCTCTAGTTTCTCCAGAAACTAGTGAAGTGTTTTGTTTTCCACCTATCTTATAAGCATTATTATATCATACAGTCTCAATACTGGAGACAACAGAACCTACAACATGGTTGGTGATGCCTCACAAGACATACTTTCTCTGAAAATCTGCATTGAGTGGGGGAAAACAGAAAGTGTTAGGTTCATTGCATGAGATGAATGCAGCCTGCCACCAGGTGATGTCCCAAGTGGGTGATATGCTTAATGAGATTTTCATTTCTGTTTGCTCTGGCCTCTCTACCATCTTTTCAACTTCTCAATGTAGAATTTTAGCTTGTTGTTGTTGTTCAGAGAGTTGAGTATATGTTTCTGAAGTTAAGATTTTAAGGTAAGGTACTTTTCTGCACAACCTCCCCACTTCTTGTGTATTTCTTTTGCTTTGTTACGAGTGTACTTTTATTCCAATGTTAAGGCTTATGTGGATTACTGTGTGTTGAAGATGTGCCACCTTCAAGTTGGTGGAGAGTTATAGTCTGTATCACAGGTTGCACGGTACTTGTTCAAGGCTTGTGGCATGTACAAACATTTTCATGGTAGTGGCATGAGGCAATCGGTCTTTGTTGTGCAGAAAGATGAGTATTTATCTGGAATACATTTTCAGGTAAGGAAAATGTCAACTCTTTAGCTAGATTTTTTATAAATCATTTTGGGAGTACCCTTCATTTTTACATTCTGTGAAAAAAATTATTTTGGCAGAAACTTTTGTACAAATTTATTTAAAGAAAATCTGAACATTTCCTACTTGACGAATCTAATGTCAAGACGACCATGCAGTTGTCTTTTGTTTGATTTAAAATATGCAGTAATCCCCTATCGGTCTTGTGTAATTTGAATAAATAGATAATCAAATAATGAAAGCAGGTTTTATTATGACTAATATTGGTAGTTATGTTTCTGTTTAAAACATGTCATGATTGCAGTTATAAATAATTAAGTAACCAATCAGCCAATTTATATATGTTCAAAGATTTGATCATCAGAATCTTTTTCCATCACCTACCATATTCATGAAACCTAGCTAAACTTCTCTGATGCCTTCTGCTTGAATGAAACTTCTATAGCTTTCAAACTGAGATAATTGAATACAGAAACACTTTAAGATTGAAAAGGACATTTTAAAGAAATTATAAAAAAAACTCCCAGCTTTGTTATTTGTTCCTTAGTCTTCAAAACTTCCCAATGTGAATACTTTTGGTCACTGCTATAAAATTATCCACTAAGGCTTATTAACAAAAATTACCATAATAATAATAAAATGAAAACATAACTACTATAGCTATTTTAATATAAATTTATTTAAGTAAAGTATATGCTTATGAAACAATAAATAGATTTGGCTAAGATATATGGAATTAACAAAACATATAATCAGTATATGAAAGGAGAGCTGAAGAGTTTGGGAGTTTACAGAGTCCCAAAGTAAAAAAAGTAAATATTTGAAAAGTTTTTTGTATCAAGCACTAAAACTTTAAAATAACATTCCAAAGGTAACAAGATCACTATTTAATGGTACAAATATGTGTATTAAATCACCATTGAAGAAATGGATATCCAATATTGATGAATCTGAAAAATGTGTTTATAGTATTTACCTGATTTTAAAATAGAACATTATGAATGTTTAAAATAAACTACTGCGAATGTTGAAGAAAACATTATTACATAATGTGTACTTAAAATTTTGTACGTTCAATATATATTTATTATAAACAGTACTTATTATAATAAGCTTAAATCCTCAAAATGAACTTGATCCACACTGGTGTAAATCTTATGGATCATAACGTGTATTGTAAAGGTTTTCTAAATCTTTCAGTAAAGTATTTCAATTCAAGGTTTAAAAAATTTATTATTGTGTCAACTTTTTGCTTTACATAATTTCATGCTAGTTGCAATTAAATCTATGTTGTGTGGACAAGTTCACCATGAAACTTTCTCAGGTGAATAGCAGGTGTGTAAACTTTTGTCAGTCACTTAAACACATGATTATGTTCTTTCAACATTTTTCAAAGAAAAGGTGTAAAACTTTTAGGGTCAATGCCTTTTTTCCCATGATCAGTCGAGTTACTATTTTTTTTTAAAACTAGATTTTAGGAAAGCTATATTGTAATTGCAGCCTATTTATGCATAATTGGTCATGGAGTAAGTTTCAATAATGTTATTCTATATAATACAAAGTACATTGTAGAAAAAATTTATATGTTGTGTTTTTGTCATAACTTTAATAAAATGTTTGTTACAACTTCCATCAGGACACAAACCTAACACACATTCAATGTAGAAAAAGTAAATGTATAGTTTATTTAATACTAAAGAAAACAGTTATGCAAATTATAAATTACAATGGAAACATAATCTAAAAACAGTAATTTTGCACCTTATTGAAATTAAATAAAAATAGAGGTGCAATTATAAATTAGGAATTTAACAGAATGCAGAAAAACTATAAATGTACACTTTATTTAACACTAAAGTAGACCAAGAGTTGGTGGTGGGTACTACCAGCCAGTTGTCTTCCTTCTGTTCAGCATTTCAAAATTAGGGGTAGTGGCAGTAGCATTAGTAACTTTACTATAACAAAAAACAAACATAAAGACCCCACAGCTAAAAGGGCAAGCATATTTTCTGGCAATGGAAATGAAAGCCAAGACCCTTAAATCATGAGGCAATTTCCTAATGACCAGGCGATGCTGGCCCAAATCATAACAAACACGAATTAATGAAAAAAATAATAATGAAGAATCATAAGGAAAATATTTTAATTGTGTGGATAGGTTGGAGTGATCAAAAACTGTAATAATCAGAGATATCAATTTCGATTAGTTGATTGTTTTCATGACTAATTGATTATTCGATTATTTTACATGTAATCAATGCTCATAGGGAATTAATTTTATGGATGAGTCGAGTTAATTGCTCAGTCTTATGAATCAGATATGTGGCTTGTTAACATGGCAGCAAAATTATCTTCTTTTAGTCTTAATTTGAACTCTAAGATTACGTAGTGTCTGATTGCTAAATCAGTAGCATGCTCTGTATCTTCTAACTTTGAATACTAATTAACTCTCTTGAATTCTGGTTTACCATTTGTTGCATGAATCATCTTCATGTTGCTACACCCAATACTTAGTTAAATAATATGAATTCTAAAGTACGAGTAGGCTAGAATTGCTTCTCAGATCCTGTGAAATCAAAACGCTATAGCATTAAGGCCTATAAGCCAAACATTTAACCCAGAATTACAAATAATGATGATGAATACTTATTTTATGAAACAACGCAGTATATTCTGGAAATATTCACAACAAGCAGTTTACTAAATCACAAGAACTAAAAAGAGTCCATTTTATCAAACAAATCTCACCACTGACAAAGTATTTAAAAATAATCTTAGGTAATTTCACATTTTAATTTGTTCATCTGAAGAATTATATTGATTCATAAAGCCTGATATTTAAAGGATATATGTAGGAACATAATTTACAATAGTATGTTGCGTCTGTAAAATGTTTTCAGTTTTGAGAATACTGTCTTTGTTTTTCGTTTGAATAGAACCTAGGACCCTATTGTAAAATAATATATCAATTCCTGTGAATATTTAATTTTAAAAATGTTAAGGCTGTTGTGAAATGAGAAGGTAATCTAATTTTAATGTATAGCAATTGCTAAAGGTATTTTACTTGAGTATGGAAGCATGTTATGTTAATATAATAATAAACTGGCAAACAATAATTTATAAGCTTAATGAAGTGGTTTTAGCTTAGGGGAATATGTTACATGCTTCTACAGAACATTGGTTTGTTTTTTTTCAGGTATTAAGAAGACCTGAAGAATATTTAAGAAAACACCAACGTTTTGTCGAAACATTTAGTATGTTTCTCCAAAAATAAATCACTTCCTTATACATATAAATTATTTGCCAATTTATTGTTAAATTTATTTCATTCTGTTTAAAATGTTTAATAATTTTTGTGATTTTAATTATCAAATGTTTTCAGAATGTTGCGTCCAGAATCTTTGCCACTTTTAGAGGAGCTTTGTGAGGAGCAAGTCCTGGTATATATCAGGCCTGATGAAGTCAAGGGTCGAAAGAAACAAAGAAAGATTGATATGGAAGTATCAGATTTGAAGCGGAAACTAGCAACCCCATCTTGTAAACAAATTGTTCTTAGCAATAGAGAAATTAGGCTCTTAAGGTAAATGTGTTTTGTTTTTAATTAAAATGTGCCATACATGTAAGTACTTAGCCTTAAAAATATAAATGTAAAATTCTTACCAAATATTTTTTTCACTTTAATTATTTGATTTAAAAAACGTTAGTATTTTTGTTATAAATGAAGATGGTCAAACATAAAAATGAAGTAGTTCATGTAGCAGAAATAATTTATGTTTTTTGTTTGTTTTTTAACAAATTGATGTAATGTTGAATGTATAAAAATTAGTTTCAACCATCTGTGTACTAATCTTCACTTGTGGCTATCTGTGCACCTATGATTAAATAATTTTGTACTCCTCCAGTAGTCTTTGAAAAAATGAACGAAAATTTTGCATGTGTGCTATTGATCTTGCAGAGTATAAACCAAGATAAAATTTTGAGTCGTAAGAGAGTTCATAAAAAGGGAATCAGAGTTTTTTGGGAGCTTTCAGGTTTGACAAGATCAATTTATTTGGAAATTTATATTAACATGTAAGGAATCATTAAAAACAAAAATTTAAATTCAGATTTTGGAAATTTTCAAATTTTGGCAACTGGGAGTCAGTGTTTTCTTAGGACAAGATCTTTGGATTTACATAAAAGTAGCCATGGATGTGTAAGGAATTGTTAAAAATAGGTGTCTACACTTATATTTTAAAATTTCATTTTGAGGTCCTTTAATAATACAAGGGTCCCCTGGTGGTACTGTGATAAGTTTACAGGCTTACAATGCTAAAATCTGCAGTTTGATTCCTCATGGTGGATGCAACATATAGACCAATGTGGCTTTGCTCTTAAACAAACAAATAATAGAAGGATCAACTCATGAGATTGAAAAGCATGCAGGATCAGATGAAAAAAAGCTGGCATCAGGAAAGGAACCAAAAAACTTTCAGAAGGTGAGCTTTCCTTTGTCAGGAGTAAATAGCAAATGTTGATTGTAAGCATGGTGATCGGTTGTGTGATCATTGTACCACATGTGAGATGTTATGCATTTCTAAGGTCATATTCATAGAAATGTTTGACATCTAACTTTCAAAACAATGACCGTTTAATTAGTCAACATGATTACAGTAGTCATTTCTCCTGATGAAGGAAAGTCTATGGGTTATAAGGTTTATTTTCTCATGAATAGAAGGATCAAGGTGATTTTGGGGACTTTCAGGATTGGCTGCATGGATTTATTTGTTAACTGATAAGAACATGGAAATGATCATTCAAAACAAGATGTACATGATTTTTTTTTGCATATTTATTGTTTTTCATAAATTTCAATATGTAGTTTACTAGTTAATTCTTTTTTATTTGTTTATGTACAAAGCTAATTCGGAGATACAATTACAAGCAGTAAAAACTTTGTTGTCCTGTAAACATTTTGATATTAACTCTTTCTAGCCCAGTGTCATTATATTGGCCATTTCTGCATTTCCATTCATGAAATTCGTGAATTTCACTAGACCAGAAACACTTGAAATATAAAAGATGATAACCATTGAACATTTTTGAATCTGATTTTTTTAAATTTACAATTTATGATAAAATTACTAAATGACATATCTGTATGCCATTACACAATATGCACAGTAACCATAGATCTATATGCCACATTTCACATTCGATTATTAACAGTAACAGAATCACAGGCCAATACACGTTGCGTACCAATCAGTATGCAATAAATACCTAATATATTATTAAAACTAAATAGCATAAACAGCAAAAGTATTCATCTGTACATATTATTTATAATAGTTACCTCCTTTTAGAAATGATGAAAAGCTGAAAAGATTTCCTACTAAGTCTTAAGCTTATATTGGAATGAAGTACACCATAGTTCCAAATTGCCATTGAGAATTTTTGTAAAACAAAAATCAACTGCCAAATTACTTACTTCAACAGAATAAACAGAAAAGTAGGGAACCAATAAAATTAATTTATAAACTTACCTGGCATACAAAAAATAAAACTATGATATACTAAGATTATTTTAAGGCATGTAATCAAGAAAGGCTTCTGATGTAATAACTACAAGTTTAGAAAGGAGGAAAGGGAACTCTAGGGCAAACAGATTGCGAGAAAGAAAATAATCCAATCTTTCAGGTGATATTTTCATGATTTCATTAGCTTTGTAAGTTTGAAGATTGTAAAACAAAAAATAATCTTAGTTTTTAAACCAACAGCATCAAAAAATCAGTGCTTCAAACTACTTAAATTAAAAGTAATTAATAAACATGTAAAAAGATCATAGATTTGTGCTTTGTTTCATATCTAGACAAGTTTTATCTATACAGTTAAAAAGATTAAGTACTTCTATTCAAATAAAGAAATAAAATTACAATGAGAAGTTTGGATATTTTCAGTAAATACAGATGTTGATAAAATTTATATCAAAACAAAATAAATTATAAACCTGAACATATCATTTATAAGCTTTATTCTGCGAGTAATTTGACAGGGAGATCAGGAAAAATGTATTAAAAAAACATGAAATACCAGGCTGGAAAGAATTAATCATCAAAGGACAAGTGTTTAAAAAAATCACAAATTTGATACTTTGTTTTACAAGATGTGAATCCATTTGAAATGAAGCAAAGTTGACATAATTAGACAATAATTAAAATAGCATTAATTTTTTCATGCTGTTGATGAACTTGCTGCTTTAAATCTTCTTACTAGTACCAAAACTTTTGGAAAGTTTTGGACCATATTGCCAATATGAAATTAAAAATAATGATAATCACATGTGCAAAAGTGAAATATGATTATATTTTTTACCAAGAATGAATCATATTATGAGTTTGATAATTTCAAAATTGTTCACTACTTGGCTCAATCAGCAAAACATGATATTTTCCATCGTTGATCTTATTTTATGGAAAAGTATTTGGGACAGTCTTGTTTTCATTTGTTCAGATATGTAATAACTTTTCAACAGAAGTCACTTTGACTTAAGAACAATTTTACAATACCCTGTTTGCAAGGTATGCACATGTAACAGTAAATTAAATACACACATGAAGTTTTTATCACTGAAACTTATAAGTTGAAATGATTGATGGCTCTGATGGTAGTAAGCTATTGTTGCATTATAAACTTATTTCAGACTCTCAGACATATTGTTTATGTTAATGAGAATACTCGATATTTTAGTGGGATTTTGCTGAAAATTTTTGAAAATATTATCTGTGTGGAAACTTAACAAGTTTGGGACATTGACAGTCCTTTAATTTATATAATGATTTTACAGATATTGTAAACTTGTAAAAACACAACGATGAATAATATACAATAATTTTAGGAGTAGTGACAAAAGTTGAGTTGAACAAATATAAATACCGATGAGAAAAGAAGTGTGAAGTACAACTCTAGAATAAGGAAGAAGAACCTTCTAACAATAGAGACAAAACCTTGATGACATTATTGTGCTAAGTATGAATTAATTTTTTTTTTATTCAAGAGTTGAGTTTCACCTATTAATAAAATAATTTGTAAATAAAAGTAATATAGTGAGTATTTATGAAAAATTTTAAGTTTACACTGCTGTGACAATTTGAACTATTTTTGTAATTTTATTGCTGGAACATATATTCATTGTTTAAATGAAATACATGTTGTTGTGAAATATTTCAAAATAGAAAATGTTGGTATCTGTAAAGGTATATTTTAAGGCCAACAAATTAAACGTTTTTCTTTTTATTATAAAACTCTTAAGCATAGTAGTTCCAAAACATACTTACCTCCTGTCACACTACAGCTATTACTCGACTGCCAGGGTTTCTTCCTTTGCCAATCTGAGCATTGGTCTGATGTTTTCTCATTTGCTCCAGTCTTTTATACCCCACTTAATTGCCCTTGGCAATATTTTTCTTCTGACACTTTCCACCTACATCAATCCGCCCTTTATCCTAGTACTGTATATAAGCACCTCATTCAGATAATGTTATCACTTTTTCTCAACAAAGCGTTCACTAACGGGTTTCTCTGTGTTACGATTGTTAGGAGATACCTTAAGCTTTCTTTGTGTTACCTAGTTGATTTTCATAAAAACAACAATTTTTATTTTATTTTTTCCATTTAACAAACTGATATACGGCATGAATTCCCAGATTATTATTTCCAGCACAGAGACAAATTGGGTCTCTCCTCTCCCACCTCTGATATCTAGCATTACTCAACAGTTGGGGGGAGGGGGCACTCTCGGTTTAAACTGTCAGTGTAATGAACTTATTATAGTGAAATGGAGACATATATTTTGTTCGGTGGTGTTCCTTTGGGCTGCAATTGATGACGATCCTGGACATTCTGAAGATAATTTAGATTTGCTTTTTCATGTGCCTTCTTTTATTCTGTTGGCTTTTCAGGAGGCCACTTTGGAATAAGCTGCTTCAGGCTCTTTTTTTCTTCAGTTGGTCCATTGAGTGTGTGATGTTTTGGGTCTTTCCCCAGTTGCTTTTGAGCCTGCACCTTACTTGATGGTTGAAAGGTATGGGAGCAAAGACCTAGTCTTCCCTCCATCCTCTGATATTATGGTTGCTGTAGGGAGGTTTGCTGCTCAGTTACATGAAGGGACAGCTATGCCTTATCTGGCATGGTTGTCGGAACTACGTGATTTAGCCTACCTCTGCCAGGTGGAAGCATATTCCAAATCTCAAAGAATACATCTGCTCCTAGAAATTAAGGGTTGTAGGGGTTCTACAGTGGAATTTATAGTTAGACTGAATAGATCAATGCCCCCTGGTGGGACAGCAGTTACTCTACGGACTTACAACTCTAAAGCCCAACGTGTTGTTTTTAAAACTAAACTTTATTGGAAGACTCTCAGAGCTAGACCTTTTGTTAGCATGCACATTGGTTTGATTGTTGGCTTCTACATTCATCCCTGTTGTAGTAGGTGTCTTGACTTCCATCAGCTCCTACATGGGGTCATAGTTCTGCCCCTATTTGGGGGTCTTGACCCCTGACATCAGCCCCTTGATCCATTGGTACCCAGAATATATTCTG